GATTTATTATTTTCAGGAGGCCTTTTGGACTTAGTTAGCGAAATCGTAACCGAATGTAAAAAGAAGTCTTTGCCGTTCGAATTCGTGTTAAACAAATGGGACTTGGGCTACAAAGCTCTTAAAGGCGGACCAGTTTCTGCCATTGGTATCATTAACTATCAAGGAGCTGAGGTAGTTTGGTCGTTCTTCTGCATTTTGAAAGGGCACTTAAAAGTTGCGTCTAAGTTTGATTAAATTGGCATCTAAATATAATTCGTTTGGCCACGTTGAAAGCGGTGTTCATAGTAATTTTTTGCTAGTCATATCTGTCTCTTCATTCTTGTCAGATCGCAAGGCCACCAGATAAAAATTTTTTTGTCAGCCCCGGTATTCTACCAATCTGGCAGGCTCCACTAGTCGGGTTTCAACTCCTAACTGTGCTAGTACATAATAGACCACGCCGTGTGGTTCTTGATTTGCACATTTGCCACTTATCCTACTTCTTTGCGATTAACCGAAGATTAAGTAACTTGTTCGTGCGTTAGTTTTCATGCTGAAAACATCGCAAACGAATAAGTTGATCAGTTTGGTCAGTCTGATGATTGACCAGTACCGACGTTTCACGCACGAACCTTCGTCAGGGTGATCCGGGTTTGATTCTCCAATTGTTCTGTGGTCCTCAGCTGTTGTAGCATCTGGAGCCGGAGCTGTCCGTTTGTTTAATGCTGCTAGGTGAGTAGTTTTCTGGTTATGGATTTGATGGGGCTTGTCCGATCCGCGCAGAGTTCGTATCCCTTATCTCGGTTAACATTTTTGCAGGTTTGGATGACTAAGGCTTGTTTGATTCGTTTTCGTTCGTCTGCGGTCATCCATCTTTTCCAGTTTGACAGGGCGACATGCATCATTAATGAATCGAGAAAGAGAACAAACCCTCCCCCTAACAGAGTCAAAAAAAGGTTACGTCCTCAAATGATTAAATTGCGCGGGCATCGTTAAAGAAAGAAACTGGCTAAGCAGGCCTGTCAAAGAAGCCCTGATTATCCAATCCTGTGAAAATGTCAACCGCGACAAAACGTACGAACTCTGCGCGAGCTGAACAACCTTTATCAAAATCGTGACGCAATAACTAAATAATCAGCAGCGTTTTTCAAAGCCACACATTCGGCTCCGGAGTTCACAACAGCCGCGGGCAGCAGAACGTACCGCAGAAACCCACCCGTTTCATGCTGAAAAATGCTCGTGAGAAACGAGCTGAAACGTCGGTACTGGTCAGTCATCCGATCAACTCATTCGTTTGCTTTGCGTTCATAAATGAGCCATTTTTATGCATTTTTCAGTTTTATACTTTGCGAGTAGATCCCATGTAGCAAGTTTTCCTTTTTGCTAGTCATGTCTGTGCATTAATTTCATATGTACCTTTTCAAACTTTCAGGTTTTCAGCTATTGTGTTGGTGTAGCACTTCAAAGCTCTCATTAGGCTGTATCTGTATATTTCGTAGTGTAAATCATGGCAGCGCATAAACAACTTGTATTGTGAGAGATGCATTTATTCACTGCAGGTGCTACAGAGGCATGGACCAGATTTTCGTCTGTTTTGCCCCTGAACATACATAAACTGGAAGGCAATACGGTAACGTCGTAAAGTCAATCTTCGTGAAGTTTGCTTATATTAGCATAGTTCTGGAAAATGAACCCCTTAACTTTTGGTAAAACGCAGTATATTTGATGCGATGCTATCTCCGCGGAACAGAATTTTTCGACTTTCCTTGCAAAAGGCACTGTAGCATGTGTGTTACATCAAAAGCCACGACCTTTCTTAGGAGTTGGAGAATTTAAATATCGTTTACCTATATAAATGAACTTTCGGTGTGTAGTATTGTGTTTACTTTTACTATGTTTCTGCTGACGCTTTTATCAGCCGTGTTCCTCTTTTTGCAGATACTTTACAATCGCGTTGTTCGCTTAATTAATCTGGCGAAAGATCCTGTCGCAAAGCCGGATGATGAGATCGATATAGCTGCGCTTTGCTTGGATTAACTTTCAGTGATCATTCGACTTTGTTCTTGCTGCCTTATTACCTTTTGGTTTGCAGTCCGGAAATGAGCAGCTTTTGTTTGTTTTCAGTGCGTTGTTCGTTCAATAAACTGTACAACGAAGCCGTGCCTTTTGATTGTTCTTAGTTGAAAATAAACGTTTTTCGCTGAGAGAATATGTCATTGTTGCCAATATATCTACAGCCAAATCATCTTGTGATATATTTCGACTTTCAATGAAAATAGGTATTTATTGGATTTTCTTTCAGATATTTATTGCCGTTTATTACTGTTATTAACTTATTACCCCCTTCGCTGTCCTATTTCCAGTAGCTCAACATGGTAAGAGGTTGACGGGGAATTCTCAAGATGATGTAGAGCTGAGACTTTAGGGTCTTGTAGGTTCATTCGGCTGGAAAAGCTTGAGAAATGTACCCAACTAAGTGGAAGAGGCAACATTCACCTACGCGTCTCGCCAGCGTAGTGAGTTATAACCATATCCTCCAAGATCAAATTATAACTGAAGCCGTGGCCCTCGTTTCCCGGAGCCTAGATTGTCGCCGACTAATGGAGCAACCGGGCAAGCATGAGAGTAAAAAATGCTGGTTACGGGTTAGAGCTAGAGGTTTACTAGTGCTGGCAACGTACAACCCCAGGTCACTTTTTGGTGAAGTAGGAGTTCAAGAGCTTGATGAAGATCTTCGGAAAATCAAATTTTGGGACTCAGCGAGGCTAGGCGAAAGTAGGATTGGCTCTTCGAGCTTTAAAGCGGCCACTGTTTTGCAGAGCTTCAGCAGATGTAAGTACAGGATGAGTAGGGTTTATTATCCGTAGAAAATTATACAATAATTTAGTGCAAGTTGATTGCACTTCAGAGGAGTGTACTAGACTGGTGCTGAGAGTTTCAGGATGAAAAGACAAGATTTTTTATGAGGAAATAGAGGTGCATGAACAAGGAAGATGTCAGTAGAAGTTCATTGTTGATTTCAACGCAGCAAGTAAATATGCCCTGTATGTCCATTTGGGTAACGATAAGGGTGACCGATTAGTGGTGATTAACTTGCTTAAAAGAACAAGTTCATTTTTATTGATCCTAGAAAAAAGCAGCAAAAAAACGACCATGGATGAGACGACACGAGTAACATGAAAAGAGCAGTGTAGGGCGTCGAGGTGTAGTGTGCGCCTGGATTCAGCATTAAAAGGGGTGAAACTGATGACAATGAAGGCAAGGTTACTCGGTGTGAAAACACTAAGGAAGAACTTGTGTTCCCTCTGTTCCAACTCGAATTAAATAGAAGATTCGAGCTCATTCACGGAATGCATGAAGAAGAAAAAAGAAGATGTGTTGGACATCAACACAATGTTCCAGGACCTGAACAAGGATTATGAGACTCGACAGTAAAGTCACGAAGCAGACAAAGGAGCTCATGAAGAAACGAATGAAATGAAGGGGCAACGGATCAGAAGTCAAAGATCGATTGCAGGAGACTTTGCAAACCTAAGGAAACGTATAAGACGTCTGAGCATTCAGCTGCAGATTGTACCGAAACTATTGAAGACAACCAAAGCGTGAAGAAATTAAATCAAAACAGAGGACTACACGGTCCTTAGGGATTGACAAGTGATTTTGAACAGAGTGCAAGAATTCAATTTTAAAACATAGCTTCACAAAGATGAAGGCGGCAACAACCTTGCTGATGATACGAGTTTGAAGATAGAAATGAGGTTGGTTAAATTCCAGATATCTTACTAGAAGTGCTACATGCAACAGAACAGTCGGGTCGAGGAAGGGCTCCCGATGAAGACGTCGTTACAGTGGAACTCGGGGAATCAGCAAATGAAGCATGGACTAAGATATCGGCGTGCATGTTTTCTTGAAGATTTGAGAACTTGAGTTTGATCAGTTTGTTGCCAATCATCTACAAGAATTTTGGCAAGTACTGATAAGCAGTCTACAAGAAATATGGAACAGCCCCATGGTCAAGCAAGATTCAGAAGTGTATTTAGTATCATGGATTATCTCCAGGTGGCTCAGCCAATATTTCGGGCAGCAACAAATATCAGTCTCCGCTTTGCGTGAGGTTGTCCATTTCGGGAAAGTTTATGACTCACTCTACATTTGTTTTGTGCTGGAATCTTTTAGGAGCTAGGGAATCGAGAAAAGACCAACTTTATGATCATGCTTTGCAAGAATGCAACTGCTAGTGTGAAGCTTCAGTAAAGGTAAACCACAACCAAGATCAAAATGGAAAAGGATGTTCGACACAGTAATGCACTATCATCGAAGTTCACAGCAGCACTAGAAGAGGTTTCCTGAACACTCAGTTTTGAAGATCAGGACTGAACATAAATGGGTACTAATTAAGGCGTTTGCAGATGAGATTTTGATCCTCATAAAGGCACTAGGTAAACTCCGAAAAAGAATCGAAGATCTGAACGACCCCAGCATTAAAGTGAATCTGAAAATGAACTTGAAGACAACTCAGTTCATATTCAACAAATACGTGAATGCACGACCTGTTGAAGTCAAAGAACTTAGGTTTGAAAATGTGCAAAACTGATTTACCTGAGATAGCTCATAGATTTTAACGGAGAATCGACTCTATGAATTCAGCAGAAGAGTGAAAGTGACGTGCCATTTTTGGATGATTAAAAATGTTCCTATCCGAGAAAGTGCTTTTGTGCTTGAAATGGTCGCGTTTCCAGTGCTGACCTATGGGTGCAAAACGTCGACTCTAAGCCTGAAAGCTATTCACAAACTGGAGACTGTGTAACACAGTTTGGAAGGATTTATGTTGTGAATGACAAGGAGAGATAGGAAAACGGACAAGTGCGTAAAAGCATAAGCAAAGATCTGCGATGTCATTATCTGAGTGAAAAAGTTTAACTCTCAGTCAGCACGACACGTTGCAATAGGAATGAACCATCAGTGGATTAGGGCGAAGTTTGGCTGGGTTCCAAGAGTTAGTTAACGGTCTGTGAGAAGTCCGTGAGAGTCCTGAAGAAGTGGTGTGTGAGCTGAAAAAGTTTGGATGAAACTAGCAGGTGACAGATGTTTATGGCATACTAATGGAACGACCTTCATACAGCAGTGGATCGACAAAGGCTAATGATTATTTTGTTGATTTATCTAAAGATGAAGCTTCCTGTTCATTCGTTGATGATCATACTGAAAGCAACATATGCGCGATTGAAAAATGCACTGTATGTTGGAAGGTGTGTTTATCCTGGTCTTCATTGTTATTATTATTTAAATTTTTCTGTAAAATTAGATATTGTTGAATTTTTCTCACTATGGATGCCTTTTTAGGATGAACATGTCACCTGATGAGAGTGACGACGACAGCTTCATAAATGAAGGCGACTTTCAGGAAGTTATTACTTTAGAAGATGAACGCGCTCTTCCACAGAGCGAGTTTATCGCAGGTATTTATGAAATATATAAAATCTATTTAAAGAAGCTAACTGGCTTTTTAGACGAAATTAACGATATTACCTTGGAAGGGATCAATGACATTCCCTCTGATCCCATTCAGGTCAATGAAAGCGATGATTCGGTTTTGGCATACCACAGACATACAGGTACGGTGACCAAGTGACATGTTGGTTCGTCAGTGTTATGCAGCTTCAAATTTTGAAACTCCGTTTATACATTGGCCACGACGAAAACTGCATGAAATGTAAATGTCCACGACAGCGCCGCCAATCCTTTTCATTATCAGATTTCACGTCATTCTGCTTCGCCCTTTGCTTCTAGTTACCTGGAAGAAAGGGCATTTAAACATGCCACGGCTCCTTTGTTTTTCAACGCCTGCAGTGCTAGATGCATCTTACATCGTTTTGTTTGCTGTGACAATCATTTGTACATCGTAAACAGTGTTTCGAACGGACGTTTTTTATGGGCTTTCTCCCAGTCGTCAAAAACACGGGTTCATACGCAGAAATTTTATAATTGGCGAATGGTTCTTCAAAGGTTTGGACCGATTTCTTTTATGCTTCAATTAGACGTTCCATTTTTAAAGTTTTATATCCCCTTTTCGTTGTGGGGGCAGCGGCTTCCAGATGTTTTAGTGACCATCTTGCTCCTCCCTCAATCAAGGTAAACTTCATCTACTGGATTCCAAGTCGTGACAATACTATGTACGCAGTATACTCTGCTCTGTCCTCTACGACTCTGTCTAGCTAATGAGCTACTATTATATTTCGCTTCTATGCAGCAAAATATGATGAGCATGATGAACCGAATTGCTAATAGCCGATGGGTCGTCCAGTAATTCATGGTATCTACAGCAGATATTATATCAACGATTAAATCAGAATTAAGCAGGTAGCTTGAATAAGCGAAAGCGACGGAGGTTCATCATGATTTCCAGAATATGCCTCAGTGGGTAGCTAATAAACCCATAATACCGGGTGGGTTTTTATCATATATGCCTACGCATCGAGATATATCCGTTGGTGTTCGAAGATGTTTTTGTTCGCCTCAGCAATTGGTACTGTTTTGCGTTCATGCGCGACGCGTGCTAAAATGTCATCGGTAAGTGGCATGTTGAAACGGTAAGAAGAAGCAAGGGGATTGTGTGACTACGCAGAATGAATTCGCGCGAGTACCCGGAGATTGTTATTTTTTGGAGGTATTGAATACGGTCAGTTTGCTATCTGACCCACAATGGCTGTGTTAATCTGTTGTATGAAAAAATTTACGTTCTTCACCAGTTTTGGTGGAACTGTAGTAAATCTTAGATCTTAGACAGCTGAATAATTAATTTTTATGCCTTCAGTGTTTAACATATAAGTACTTGATTGTTGCCGATTTAGCTTCAGTTTTTTCTGTTGCCGCAACCGACTACGCCGTAGCTTCAGGCGGCGAAGACAACATCGCCTATTTGTGGAACTTACGCACCGGGGATACTTTGTACGAATTCTCCGGTATGTAAAGCGCTAGTGAAAATCATGCGAATCTTAAATTACTACTTCATTTTTGCTACTATTTGTTTTGTTTAAAAAATGTTTAAAATGCAGTTAAACTTTTTAACGCCAAGGAATACGCAGAAAATCATGTCATGGTAGATGCTGTTCTACGTTTCTATAGCGAAAGGGTTTATTTCAGGCGTATACAGATACGCGCAGATACATACTTTGTGGTCAGCGTATTTAGAATATAGAGATGGCCCCTTTTGTAGTTTTTGTAACTGTCTGAGGGCCAAGAGCCTCATGAATTAAAATCTGTCTTCCTCTTCATGGGCGAATCACTTTCGATAGTTGTTGCTGTTCCTTCCTGGTCTCACGGTGCTGGAATATCGATGCTTGGGAACAGTGGCACGCCTCTGGTTGTTTCCAGTTTTATTCTTCTTCAAGTAAAAGGACCATCACTTTACGATCCATGCAATGTTTTGTTCTTTTAGTAACCACATCGGCTGTAAGCAGTTTGATTCACAGGAATGTTGCATTTGAAAAGTGTTTGTGTTAGTGCGTAGAGCATGGCACAAAAGCTCATTGGGCATCGAATAGTATGTTTTAATTTTAAGATCGCTAGTGCTTCGTTAGCCTCTGCAGCGCATTGACAGACCTTCTATCTCACTGACGTGAGGAATGTTTATTCGTTATGCTCTTTATCGAGAAAATCTAAGGGTGAATTCAGGAGAAATAGATCACATATCAATTAATCTAGCTGCATGTTGTTGGAATATTTTTTATCAAGTATTGTATGATCAAATTCTAAGGCCTAGACACTCGATGAAGGCGTTATTTGCTCTGGAATCAGTTATACCGAGTCGAATATAAAACAGATGTTTATGCTCGTTGGTTGCCAGATGACAAATTATACCGTGGAATGGATGCTCCTGAGAGAATTATTTGCCAAGCTCAGGCTGTGAGTTCAGACGGTGGCTCTAATGAACGTGTGAAAGTGTATGTATCCAATCTAGAGTCACGTTAGGAATTGTTCCTGAAGGAAGCTAACGCCGTTTTTAAGGATGCTGGGGCTTCACATTACCAACTACCAGATCCGAAATGGTGTGATCAGATAAGACATGGACTTCCATGATAGAATGCGGTTCAACGCCTGGTCTGCTATGCAGACGTAAAGGCATGTCTGCAGTTAATGCCCTCCAACAATAGCATATCCATATATGCACCTGATTTCGGGACCCATTAAAAAAGTGACCACTAATCGACTTGTTTGCCATTTCTCCAGGCGGACTTATTCTCAGTTATGCTTTCGCCGTGATTGTAAAAGACGCAGCTCACCAAAAATTTTTCGGTCACTTCATGAATTCTCTATGAATTTATGATCGAATAGTTTTTTGACTGGTAAGGGAATTACCCTCATGCTTTTATGATTGTTTACCACTCCTTCGTTAACCGATAATTTCTGTGTTAATTTCAGTTTAAGATTTGGACTGTTACTGCAGAGAATATTTCTGTATTTCGTGCTGTACCTAAATCACTGTTCAATCTCCACGTAACTCATATGTCTGACTTTGAATGAAAATTCCTATCATCTTTTCTCATTCGAACTTCCAAACCAAGTGTTAAGAAAGTCTCCAGTTGGTTTATCGCATGGCGAGAATCAGAATATCTGTTGAATCCTTTCATTTTTGAAATAGCTTATGCAAATGTGTAATTGAAACAAGTTCGAATGATTCGAATTGAAACAAGTTCGTAATTGAAACAAGTATGAATAAAAAAAATCGTTACGTTCTCTGTAGATGTGAAAGGCGGAGGTGGTGCTACTTGATTGGCATTAGCATGCGCTGTGATGAAACAGTAGTACGTAATTTGATCATCCAACGAAATTGTTGCTCTTATTCCGTCTGGCGCTTAGCTGATCATCTGCATTGTTGAAATGTACACTCAGTTTTTTTATAATCGTGTGACTGCGCGATGAAATGGTTATATTCCACTTCGCATAATTTGCGGTGTTTCTTTTCCATTCTAATTATGCTTATGCGTATTATTTTATTATGCATATTTATTTTTTAGCCTACCTACCTTTTTTAGCCTATGCAGCTGAGGCAGCTGCATTGTTTGTTTAACTCTAAGAGTTAGTCGAAGGATCATCATCGTTATTTTCTCGGCTTCTGATTCAGATGATACATTTTAGCTTCTTTTCAAATGTGCCCACTTGTTTTGGTTTTTAATCTGCTTCATAGTCTTTTGAGCATATGGTTACTAACTGTAGTGGTGGTAATGATCACTTAAAAGTCAATATAAGTAACCACTTAGCATCAAGTTGTTTAAAGTACGATAAATGGAATAAAATCCTATTGTGGATACTTGTTTGATAATTTGATCATTCGAACCTTTAAGGTCACTCCGATTCAGTTACGTTTGTTGATTTCAATTCTAAGAAATCATTACTTGCCACGGCGGATATGAACGGCGTTGTCAGAGTTTGGAACATGGATGATTACAGTTTCTTAAACGGGTTCCAAGTTGGTGATTTGCAGGTACTCTGAATTAGTTGTATAATAACGACATGATACGTTTTTTATGTCCTTCAGTGGATGCAATGGCACCAATCCGAGAAGCACATTTTTTTCTGTGGAACAAGTGACGGATCGCTGTGGATGTGTTGGGCACCTAACGGACAACTTAAGGTTTATTCCGGATGTTCGTCGCCATGTTCCGTTGGCCGTCTTTTACCTGATGGTACTCTTTGTTGCGCTACAATATCTTGCTTCGTTCACTTTAAGCGGCTTGTAATTCAGGTAAGCGTTTAGCTGCCGGATACAGTGATGGCTCTCTCAGAATTTGGAACCTTAAAACATCAGCGGCAGTGCACGTTTCTGGTCAGAGTACGACTTTGCTGTACTAATCTGTAGGTTCTCTTTGTGTTCAGAACTTATTCTCTAGACTTTGGTTCCACCAATCTTGAAGTTTCGTGCCTCAGCTGCTGCAACGATGTAGTCGCCGTGTATGGAACTGTCGGTGGCGAGGTGAATCTGTTTAACAGCGACAGTGGCAAGGTATGCCTGACCGTTCTTGCTAAATTGATCAAATAAGGCGTCTTACTCAGAACCGAGAGATCCGAGACTCGAGCCTCCGTTCAGTCACTCACC